AAATCTCTTTAACTTGGTTTTCTGACAAGTAGTGCTTTAACTCAGACATCCATATATTTGCATTGCTTTTTTTTTTTTTTTTTTTTTTTTTGGAAAAGCAGGAGGAACTGGATTTCATAATGCAGATATTTGTAAAAGAAACTGTCTGAGGGAAGAGTGGAAAATATAACAGTAGTGGGTTTTGTTGTGTTTGTTTTTTTTACTGTTAAGTAGCCCATTAAGCAAACCAGCTTCTTTGTTAGTAATTATCTTAAAGGCATAAACCATACCTAATTTGTCATAATTTTATTCTCACTAAAAATCCAGAAGAGTGTGAGAGAGGAGTTAGCTGAATCTAAGAAAAGAGTGGATTTTAAATAACATCTGCACTGGATGAGATGTTTGGTGGGACTTGTGCAACCAACCAGGAAAAGCTGTTGTGGGTGAAACGAAGGGAGTTGCAAAGTGCTTTTATTCTAACAGGATTTTTGGCTCACATGGCTTCAGCTCCCTCTCCCTTCACCTCTTCATTTGTTCTGTTCTGCCTGTGGACAGGCTGCTTCATGCTCTCTCTCCTCTTTTGCTCACTGTTGGGTTCTGGTCTGAATTGTTTTAAGACGCACATAAGTGTAAAACATTCTCAGACCTGGGAGTTGAAGTTGTAAACTTGCAAACTACTCCAGGTATAATCTGATTTTTCTGTTGTTTGTCAAGCTTGGAGACAGTTATTCTTTTAGTTTGAGACAAGTTCTTCAAGAGACATGGGGGAAACTGGCTTTGCCTAGCCAGCCCTCATGAGGTGTCCTGGGTTTTGTTTTTCTTGTAAGCATTAAACAGTCATTCTGTTCTTGTAAATTTTTCACTCAGAATTTAGGAATTTGCATTACACTCATGTAATGGAGGGAATAAAACTGACCTTCAGCATTGTAGCAAACTGGGTGATGGCAGAATTTGCAGCAGCACTAAGAAATTCAAAACTGGGAGGCTCCTGCTGTCTCTGCTGACCTTTTTTCTTCTTCCATTGTAATCCCTAGATCATTCAACACCAGCCAGCCAGTCTCCTCACTCCTCCAACCCCAGCAGCTTGCCAAGCTCCCCTCCAACCCATAACCACAATTCTGTTCCTTTCTCCAACTTTGGACCCATTGGGACTCCAGACAACAGAGACCGGAGAGTTGCAGACCGCTGGAAAACAGATAAGCCAGGCAAGTGCTGGGTTCCAGGTTGGCATGGAGCTAGACACCATCATCTGATGATGCTTGTTTTGCACTGGTTTTGCCATCTCACTTTGAACTTGTCTTTCTGCCATTTTAGCAATGGGAGGGTTTGGTCTGGACTATCTCCCAACAACATCATCATCCTCTTCGGAGAGCAGCTGGCACCAGTCCAGTGCTCCTAGTGGTACCTGGGCAGTCCAAGGCCCTCCTGCCATGGAGGACTCCTCAGCTGTGCTTATGGAGAGCCTGAAGGTGGGTTTGGCTGGGGCTGTGCTCAGGGGTGGGTCTGCAGGCTGGACGATCAAGTGATGGGCGTTAGCCTGTTGGAAGTGTCAGAGTTCAGTGCCAGAAGCCCAGAATTGGAAGCCCAGAGTTTTTCCTGCAGATTCACTTACACAAGGCAGTGTGGGAGGTGTCACCAATGCAGGAAGATGTCACAAATTTACAGTTCTTGCTGGTTTTGAGATTTTGTGGAACAAACCCAGGCTGGCAGAACGGGAAAAAATTCTAACATTAGCTTTGACTAGTCTAAAATTAGTAATAGTTAATATGGGATGAATTTTTATGGTAATGAGGGTTCTGGAGGAGGATAAAGTTCTTCCAGGGAGCCTCTTTTTAGAAGGTCTTCTTTGAACCTGGTTAACTTTCGTGATATGCCAGGTATGAGTGATATAGGGGGAGCACACACAACATTGTGTTGGCTGTTTATTTTTAGTCCATCTGGTCCAGTTCCATGATGCACCCCGGCCCCTCGGCCCTGGAGCAGCTGTTGATGCAGCAGAAGCAGAAGCAGCAGCGCGGACAAGGTGCCATGAATCCACCACACTGAGACTGAGGAGGCAACCCTTGCAACGACGGCTCCATAAACCATGGCATGTTGGGTCTGTGGGACTGGCACACACAGTCCTGTGCAGGTGGCAGCCCTCTCTTCTGTTCCTTGCTGTCAGGAGGGCGTAAGTGCTCCACCAACCCACTGAGTGTGCACAAAACGTCTGCAGTGCAAGCAAACAACATCAGGAACTCTCCCATCCCCCGGGCCCTTCGGAGGAGAGAGGAACTGCTGTTTGGCTCACTCAGTAACCCAATATCACCGCCTCTCACCTTCTCCATTGTGCATGTCCCCAGCCACATGGGAAGTAAAAGCTGAGAGCAAAGGGCAGATGGGAGAAGCCAGTGAGAACTTCTCAATCCTTTTCTTCTCTTTGGGGAGATACAATAGGAATCCATTAATGATTGCTTCGCTGACTGAGAATGTAGTTGAAATTACTCCTAAACATCTTTATTACTATCTCAGTAGTAAGATCACACTGAATTCTGTACACAGACGTGCTTCATAGTCAGTGTGTAGCAATGAAAGCCCCAGTTGCTGCTCCAGTCACAGTGGGTGGTGATGAGGTGGGGCTCTGTATCCCGGACTAGCAAAGGAGTTTCATGAAAGAGAGTCTGGCACTTGGCACTGCTTCACCCGAAGGCTTTGGGTGGGTTAGAGACTCCAGCATGAAATGTCCTTCTCTCAGTAGGTGTTTGAGCTATGAGGGGTGACATGGGGCCTCACAGCACTTTGCTGATAAGCAAGTTAACTGCTATGGGGTTTTAAATTAATGTGTGATTCCTGTACATTTTACTGTAGCATAGTGGCTAGCCCCACAAAGGACAGGCTAGTCTGTGCATTCACAGCCTGACTCATTTTAATAGGTAGGTAGAAAGCTTTCAGTGGGGTTTTTTTTTTGTTTTGTTTCGGTTTGGTTTTGTTTTTTCTCTTTCCATCCTCCCATCTTCGCTGAACGCTCGTAGTTTCATTACCATGGCAGAAAATAATCAGGGGTCCAGCAGGGCTGGGTGAATCCGACAGCCAGCCCAGACAGCGTGGGGCATCCGCGCGCCCGGAGAGGCACAGGTCAGCTCTGCAGAAACCTGTCCCAGCTGCAGCCCCAGGCTTTCAGTGCCAGAAACAAATCCAAGGCACCCATGGACACACGGAAACAGCACAGTGCTGTTCGTAGATGAAAAGGTGCAGAAGGGAAAAGGAAAAAAACGTTTTATTTGCTATTTATTAGGGGGAAGGAAGACTGGAAGTTTTGTTAAAGAAAAGGACAGCGTTTTTGTTAGATTTCCCAGGGAAGTTACAGAAACAGACTCAATGTCCATTTGCTGTTTTTAGCAGTAGGGGTTTGTGTGATGATTCAGGATCTCTGGGCTAGAATTCAGCTGCAGAACAAAGCACATGCAGGAGCCGAAGTGACGCTGGAGTCTGGGCAGCCCCAGAGAACACAAAAAGGGAAGGCGGAGGAGACCCAATACCCTCGGGGGTGCGAGAAGCTCCCTACGAGCTCCACCTGAGCAACATCACTGTTCCGTGTTGCATTTCAAAGCTGTATTTCCTTTAACAAGTCCAAAAAGTGAAGTTCCCACCTGGTGGTAACCCGGCCCACCCTGTGTGTCCCCTCCAGCCCTCCCCTCCAGCTGTGTGTCCAAGCTGTGTGCCCAGGCAGCTGCGGCGTTGCCGTGTCCGCGCCGTCACTGACTCTTGCACCCCAGACGAGCTAACCAGGAGCACCATCTCACTCCCGGCCAGGGCCCGCTGCACCCTGCCACTTGTGCATGAGCACCCGGCCTCGGGGCTGCGTCCGACCCCGCCTGCCCTCCAGCACCTGGAGGAGCAGGGCAAGGGGCCCCCAACAGAAACTGGTTTGTGTTGTAAGCTTTTTTTGTGTTTTCTGTCTGTCTGTGCAAGAACTGCAGCTGCCGAAATCAGCTTTGCCTTTAATTAAACCATGTTCTCTCCATCCAGGTCTGTGTGTAGCGTTTATTTCCTGTGTGACTTGGCGTCAGGCCTTTAAAAATGCATTACGTTTCTGCAGAAGCCAGAAGAATGTTTGAAGTTGATTTTTTTTTTTTTTTTTTTTTAAATTTGAAACAGACCTAAATGAATCATGGTGATTCTGGCTTGGGCTTGGTACAGATAATTTGGTTGTGGTTTTGTGCTGCCTGTGTAGCGTGTTTTACATACTGAACTAAATATGTAGGATGGAGCAGCTTGCAAAGCTCCTCCCTAGTTTCAGACTCATCCTGGTACAGTGCGTGCAGATGGAGGACACAGATCCTTCTGCCAATGACTTGCCTGCAGACCAGGGTGTTCACTGTCTCCATGCTTCCAGGTATGCAACAGGAAACTCCAGAGGTGTTCTGGTTTTGAAATTACAGGTGTTTATTGCCTCCAGAATAAGTTCCTTTAAAAAGAAATGTGATACATAGGCGAATGGGGCAGTGAGGTTTTCTGAACTTGTGTGATAGAATCCAGAGTGTGGAAGCCCCTGCCCCCTCAGCACCTTTGGAGTAAAGCTCTGGGATTCCAGGCTCTGTCTTTCAAAGTTACTGTATCTTCCGACTGATCAGGAAAAACTCTGATGCGTGGGTCCCAATGCTGAAGATGATGTGTCTGCTTTTATTGGTGAGAGTTTTAAAGTCCCTGTAACTTTGAATTGTGAGATGGAGCAGGGTGAGGCTATGTGGTGTCTTCTGAGTTCTTGGGGTTGGCACTAATGTTTAAGGAAGCAAGTGCTTTCCTGGTCTGTGCTCCTGAACTTGCTTCCCCTTGGGGATCTCCTGGCAGGGCTGTCAGTGCAGGTTGCACCACCCTCTTGTGGGTGTTCCCAGCTTCTGGCATGTCTGTATAAAAGCTCTTTTAAGGATGGGGGAACATGGCCAGTCTCTTGGCAAGCATAGGATTTAGGGATGAATGTATCCCTCACAGGAATTAACAACTTCTTAACAAGTTCCTTTTTAAGACAGCAATGCAAAAGGTAAGAGAAAATAGAAAGCTTTTAATACGAGTAGCAGTAACATTTAAAGTTCATTTTCAGATGCAGGGATTAATATGCAGACTGCATAATGGCAACAGTTGAATTCTTAATTTCTCTCCACAACTTCAGGCTGAGATCACTTCTCTGGGTGTTCAGTGTTGTGCTGTTGAACGAATGCAGATGGGAAGATGCCAGTCCTCCCCTTGCACTGGCCTTCAAACCAGTCTTCATTCACTGAAAAGGAAATTGGCACACTTCTTACGACCCTGGGAATGTGCAGGAGCATAATGTGCTGCAGACAGGCTAAGATCATGTTTTATGGTGTTTCTGCTGATAAAACTTGGAGCTGTGCTAGACCCAGCAGGGAGTGGAATGTGGAGGAAAGGGAGGAATGAGGAAGAGAGTAAAGTGGTCAGGTAAGAGGGAATATCACATGGGGTGGGAAATTGGATCAAAATAGAGACTAGGGGGCTTGGAAACTGCCTTGAGTGGAAACAAAGTGAGCGTGGAGAGTGAGGAAATGATCTGATGCTTGTTCTGTCTTTTTCAGGATACATCTGAAGTGTTTTGTCAGCTATTTCTCATGTTCACATGACCCTGGGTTAAGTAAAGCCTAGGAGCTCTGGCAGTTTTGCTGTGGGGGAACCAAATGAGGCAAGAACCAGCTTTGTACTGGGAAATATTTAGCTCAGCAATGAAGGGGAAGGTAGGATTTTGGGGTGGAGGGGGTCATCAGTATTGCATGGTGAAAATCTAACCTGTCAAAGGTTAGGTGGGGGACTGGTTGTGTACTGCTGCCAAAGCCTGCCAGCCACCACAAATTAGTGACACAACTACAGACAGCTAAATATAAGGGGGTTTTGCCTTTAAAACTTATTCCTGATGTCTTGATTTTATTCGGAGGCTCAAATGAGATGGGGAATGTGCCCTGTGTATGCAATTCTTCATTGATCTTCCTGAGATTGTCTGTATTTAAGCCTCAATTCCCATAGAAACACTAAGGACTAATATTGAGCAACTAATGAAAGATTGTACTCTTAACAAGAAAAGTAGATTAAAAAAGGTTCCAGGTGGAAGGAATGGGAGTGAAAGCCTGTTCCCATTGTGGGGATGGCAGCTAAAATGAGGCATCTCCTTGAAAGAATCCACTGTGAGTTGGCTTAAATACAGCCCAAGTGTAACTCCTGTCATAGATGTTGGGGGGGGCTGTGGTGGAAACAGGAATGATGAAAATATGCTGGAAGAAGTGTAACAGGGATGTGTGGATGGGAATCCCAAGGCAGAGATGGAGGGGCTCTGCTGCTGCCACACCACCTTCCCTCTCACCAGAGCTGGGGGTCCCTCCCCTCTCCTGTCCCAGGTGGAGCACAATTACCTTTGGATAAAACAAGGATCATGTCTCCTGCCTGAAACTCCAGGTCTTCAGGCTGGGTGGCTTCATAACTGTACTGAGCTACAACATGGTTTGGTCCCGTCTCCCCAGGTGCTGTCTCCTGCAGTGACTCCTCTGGTTTGCTGTCTGGTACAAACCCCTCTCCCTAGGCAGGAGACAAGCTGGTGAGGACACAGCCTCTCTGTAGCAGGGCAAGAGAGATGAGCTCTGCTTCCCTCCACTCATTCTTTGCTCCTCTGCCTTTCATGAGGTTGCTGGCTTCTGTTGAAAGCCACAAACCTGTTCTCGTGGCAAGGAAAAGAAAGGCAGGAGGGAAGGCCTGCCCCCTGTAGCTGTCACTGACCTCTGTGCCATTGCACCAGACTGTCAGGCAGTTGTCCTTGCTCTGGCTCCAGGCTGCCTCCACATTCTCTGCACTCAGAATCACCAGCTCCTGGCCCTCCACAGGCTTGTACCTGGCGTGCAGGGGGTGCAGGTGAGGAGTGCTGGCACACAGCCCAGGCTCACTGGGGCTGGCAGTGCCTCACCTCAGCTCCGTGTGCTCGGGCTGCAGCTCCAGCTTCCTGCAGACCAGCTCCAGGAGCTCCCTGTGGGAGAGGCCTCGATCCACTCTCAGGGCCACTGTGAATTTGTAATGCACCTTGAGGACAGTTGGTTCAGCCTCCTGCAGGCAGGAAATGGGATGTCACCTTGTGTGGCTCGGCAAGCACAGGGCTGTGGAAGCTGTGGTTGCCTGAATTAGATTGTGCCTCCCAAGCTGTGCTGGACATCGGCTGGTTGGCAGAGCCAGGCTCGCCCCAGGAGAGAGCTCAGTAATTGATTAAGGACATGGCACCAAATAGTGGCTTTGGGGTGATCAAATCAGAGCTGTGTCCACCCTCCAAGCCCCTCTTTTTTTTTTTCCTTAGTTGGAATTGCTGTATTTTCCCATCTCTTCCCAGTTTCCCAGTGTGACCTGATGTACTGACCCTACCCAGGAGCATGTGCATTCCAGTCAAGCTCTCTCCTATTTCTCCCTTCTCATGTGCCTCAGGTTGACTAAGATGAGTCATTCAGTGGTCCCCTCGCCTGGGGCCTGGAGGAGAACTCCCAAAAAGCAGCCCTAAGTCTGGCAAATGCAGGTTTGTATCAGCAGCAGGACCTCGGGTCTGCTCGCAGGACCTCACCTTTGCCGTGTCTCTGGGCTGCACCACGGTAGCAGGAACGTAGTCTGGGGAGGAGAAAAAGGTGGCTCAGGAGGGTGGGATGGGATAAACATTGTCCAAACACACAGCCAGACCTCCTGCAGCCCATCACGATCTCCAGCAACACCAACCAGGCCTGGAGCCAGCAGGAATGCGACGGAGATGAGGCCTAGCCCTGCTCTCAGAGGGGAGGACGTGGCACCTCAGCCTGCTGGGGCTGATGTCACCCTGTGTTCCCCACACTGACCTGGCGCCAGCCGCCGCGGCTTCTCCGGCACGGTGGAGGTGGGTGGCTCGGAGATCTCCACTTCCACAGGGGTGTCTTCCTTTGGCACGGGAGGAAAATAGTGCTGTCAATCCCACCCTCCCCTCCAACCTGCTTTTCCCAAAGTCTGGGGTCTTGAACAGGGGAGGGGTGACTTGGCTATATCCATTATCTCCCCAGCACTGCCAACCACTGCTAGGGTGCCACCAACACAGATTCAGCAGAGCTCTGAGCTCACCATAAGGGGACCATAAGCCAGAAGAACCAACCCAAGCATCATGAGCGGGAGGGAGTCACATATATGGGTCCTACTGGGAGGCAGGTGTTGGGTGAATATTTTGAGATCTGCCCTCCCCAGGACACCATTTCCTCCTGGGCCGCCTCACCTGGATATGCAGCTTATTCTGGAGCTCCACGGGCTCGAGGAAGTTGCAGGGGACAATCCCTTTCTGCAGGGGAAGGAGAGATGAGCAGTGATTGCTTGGCAAGAAGGCAACCCACTGCTACAGGACACAACTGGATGTGTCCTCACCCTCCCCTGCAACCAGGAGGGTTCCTAGGCTCGAAGTTTAGTTTCTGCAGGTTGGGTGGATTTCACTGAACCCTGTGGCCTAAGCCAGGGTGAACATAAGACACCTCAGTCAGAAATTTGCTTAATTACTATTGGCAGGCCTCTGCCTCTGCAGAATCTCAACCATAATCTGCTCTCTGCCCCTCCTGTCCAGCACACTCCTGGTGTACCTTGCCATTGAACATCACTGTAGCCCAGTTGTCCTTCTCTTTCTTCAGGACAAAGACAATGTTTCCTGGCAGGACCTGCAGCTCCTCAGCGGTCTCGGGAATGAACTCGTACATGACACGGTGTGGCTGCCCGCTGAGGGCCCTGGGTGAGGGAGCAGTGGACAGGTCAGGAATGCTGGTGATGCTGTTTCACATCTTGGGGAGAATCCAGACCATGTTTCCACATCCCCCTGAGTTCTGGGTGCCAGCTGGATGCTCAGCTGTGTGAGTGCAGGATGGGGTTGTGCCTGGCTGCATGGGTTATCCATCTTTCATCCAGCTTACCTGAGGATTTCTGGGGTCTTGGGCCTGGGTGGAGGACCAGAGGCCTGCCAACAGGAAGACAAAAAGGAAAATACCAGTAACCCAGAGGATGTTGTTTGCTTTGCAGCAATGTCCTGCAGCCTTTTACCATGCCCTCCCCCAGCACTGTTCCTTCCTCCACATGCAGGTGCCTTAAGTGCCATGAGGAATATCACTGGCTTTGTTCCTTCTAAGGAACAGTTTCCACATTCTTCAACATACAGTTGGTTTTCAGAGGCACAATCCTCTTTTCACTCCTGATTTTCGTTTCAGTTCACAGAGGATTGAAATTGTCAACGCTGCCTGCATTGAGAAGGTTGCCATTTATCTTGTGCAGTGGTGCTGTGCTGTGTGTCCCCATATCCACCCAAAAACCTCCTGGAAAAACTCTTTAACATGTTTAGGAATGAGAAGATACCATTACATAATCTGGAAATGGCATGGGATATGCAAAGGAATTGTGGGATGAGCAGGAGGGTGCAAATCGAGATCAAAACTGCCATTGTTTGTTTCCCCTCTTGGGCTTAGGCAGAGGATCCCCAGTGAATCCTTTGGGGAGGGTCAGAGATGTGCAGACTGCAGATCCCTGCCCTGTGCAGGGAACCAGCTTAACCTCAGCCACAGCTGTGGGTGGGTTTGGGATGAGCTTCCCCGAGGTGTAGGGGGCAGTTGATCTGTGCAAGCAGTGCCTGCCTCCTCCCCACGGCAGAGTTCAGGGTGGTAAGGGTGCTGCTTGCTCCCCACTGTGGGTGACAGCCACCCCATGGCACCCTGCCCTGAGCCTGCTGTTCACTGACAGTCTCACCTGTGGCTGTAGGGGAGCGAATCCTGAGAAGTCATCCTTGTCCACCACAGAGGCCACCACCTAGAGCCACAGACAAATTGTGACTTGGTGCCCACAGACCCCGCTCAGCTCTCAGATCCTCCTCCTTTAGCCAGGCCAAGCTGCTCAGGATGCTTTAAGCTCAGGAGAGGCTATGATTTTAGGCTAAGCATCTTGAGCTAAAGGCTGTGCCTCTGGTTCCAAAGCTTCCCTCTCAGCTGTGGTAAGTTTTCTGCTCTTAGCCTTGCTGTTTCTGTGGTTTGAGGCATTAAAACCTAAAAGTTTCCCATTCTGTTTTAATCACAAATGTTGAAGAGAGCCAAAGTGTCCGGCTCAAGCCCATACCTCCTACAGGTGACCTTAAATGTAATTTAGAAAGTTGGTACATATTTTTGTGCATGTTTCTGGCACTCAAGGAGCTGCCTGGCTCTTGGCTGTCCCAAGTTCCTGGTTCCTTTTCTGGATGAGTGCTGCCTCCCAGGGCCTGAACCCAGAGGTGGTATCCCAGTGACTGGATTTTGCACTCTCACAGGAGGAAAGTGTGCTTGCTTGTCTGAGCTGAAAAGCCATTTTCAAACAGAGTGGTGGAAGGACTGGAGGTTGGTTGTGGGTGTCAAATGTTAAACAGCTCCGTTCCCCCACCCCTGAAAATGCCTTGGCTTGAGTTGAAGCTCCAGTGGGATCTTTCAGCTCATTGCTGACTATCCCTCATGTCTCACTAAAGAGACAAACTAGAAATAGGCCATGCCCAGCAGGAACGTGCTTTCAGCTCTTGTATTCTTTCAGTCTCCCTGTGTGCCATCCCTCTCTCCATGTCTGGAGGATCCCTGAGGCAGAGCCCAGCTCCCTGGCTCTGGCTGCCTACCAGGCAGCAGACAGCAGCTCAGAGGGATGATGAGAAGGCAGTCAACAGCTCTTCCCAGCCCACAGGCTTGGCCTGAATCAATAGTATAGATCTTTCTTACCATTGCCTTTCCCAGGTAGTCCTTCTTCTCCAGCTGAGCCACTTGCTTCTCATTTGGCCTGAACAGCTTCCCTGCAGGAATGGCCACCAGCTCACAGAGCTTCTGCTTCTACAGCACAGACAAGTCATGGAGACTTTGGAGGTGAGAGCAGGGACTGATGAATGTCCCTTCTGCTCTGGGCTTGGGGGCTGCTCCAGACCACCACCACGACAGCCCAATCCCACCCTGGGTATGCTCCATGGAATCCCACCTTCCCATCCCTGCCTCCCCAGTGACCCAAAGCTCTTCCCACAGACTTGTGTCCCTCTCCAATATCCATGGCTACAGCATTTTAATCCTGCCAAAAGGTGGATGTGCTGTCGGTGGGATTTCCCTCCCTCTCCCTGTGGGGCTGTGAGACCTGCTCCTCCATACCAGGATGGCTTCCATTGCCCTGTCTATCTTGTTGTGCTGGGGCTCGCTCTTCATGCTCATGGCCAGGGTCAGGTGCTCCTCAGCCTTCTCCCAGTTCTCTGTTGTGGCATACACCAGTGCAATGTTGTAGAGGATCTGCTGGAGGGATGGGAGTAAGGGAAAGAGCTCTTGGAGCAGCCAGAGCTGCCAGGAAAGGACAGAACAGCAGGGCAAGGGCACTGCACCCGCTTGCTTGGTTTGTGCAAGGTACAAAAGAGGCTGGCTGTCTCCACTTCAGGTTTCTCATGCTGGAGAGTGCTGAGAACAGACCTTTGGGCTCAAAGAGGTGCCCAGGCGTGTCTCACCTCGCAGGCAAAGAGGCGGTAGCGTAGCCCCAGGATCTTGTAGTCGATGAGCTGGTTGCCTCGCAGCTGGGCCAGCGCCTCTTTGAAATCCTCAAGGGCCTTTCCATGGCTGGGGAGCAGAGGATGAAGGAGTCACCAGCTTGTGGTGGAACCTGCCTGCCTCTCAGCCTGTACTCAGACTTGGTGAGTTCAGGGTCTCCCCTCTATCCTTGCAGTGTTTCAGACACCCCAGGGGAGGGGAGAGGTTTTGAGGCTCATGTTAATCCCAGGACTGTGGTGCTGAAGAGCAGGAGCCTGTTTGACCTCGACAAGTTTCAGTCTGGGCTCTGGGGCACCAACCCGCCTGGGGCCTGCCATCCTCAGGTGAAGGCTGGCATCTCTGTCAGTGGCAAAAAGGAAACTTGAAACCCTTCCACTCACTTCTGTCTCCGGTAAAACACGGTCCCCCGCTGGAAATAAGCCACAGCCAGGTGCTTGTCGCAGCCGATGCTCCGGGTGAACGCCTGCAGAGGTAGGAGTGGGGCAAAGGGGGGGTAAAAAGGGGACACCCAAAATAACTGAGGGCATAGAGCAGTTGTGCCTATCCTGCCTTAGCTGAGCAGCCCAAGCTGGGCTCTGTGGGCTGTGTCTCCCTGCAGCACTGGGTGGGGGAGAGCCTGGACCAGGCTCCTGGGGTTTTTTTGAGCTGGAGCCATATGCCAGCATGGTCACCTCCTGGAGAGGGGAGAGTGAGCAGCGAGCCGTGTACCGCTGCTGTGCCTCACCCCTGATTCACTGCAGAGCTGGTGTGGCAGCCTAGGGCTGTCCCCGTCCTCGCAGCTTTAAAATCCATCCTTTAGACCGTGATCCTGTCAATTCCTTCCTTGCCCACCACGTCCACGTATCAGGGAGAGGATGAGCGGCCCTGGGGGCTGTACCTTACCTGCTCCGCCTCCGCCAGCTCCCCCAGGACGAGCTGGATGCAGCCGATGTTAAAGCAGATTTTGGCAGGGGGGTTCTGCACGGCCGTGAAGGCACCCAGGGCAGCGCCCCACTCCTTCCTGTCCGCAGCGCACACCCCTGCTTGCCACAGCCGGATCGTCTCCAGCAGGGACATGGCGGGAGCGGGCTGCGGGATCCCGGCGGCGCGGCTCTCGCCCCTGTCCCTGTCCTTCCTTGTGGCGCAGCTCCCTGCTCGCTCCCGCTGCACTTCTGCCTTCCCCGCCCTGTCTCGACCCTGGCAGGAAGTGGCCGCGCTGCACGGGCCCGGGATGGGGAAGTGGGGCACAGGCTGCTCTCGGGCAGCCCCTCCTCGCCTACAGCTACTCAAAGATCTCCCGGTTTTTGCATTAAAAGCCATGGAATTGTCAGCTGGGTGGTTCATCAGGTCAAGTTTGAGGGTGCAGAATCCCAGGCTGGGCGCTGGGCTGCTGCTGCTGGGCTGAGCCCTTGGCGCCCTGCGAAGCTCAGCCTCATCATTGCTAAGGGCTCCTGCAGACAATTCCCGGCAGGAACAACGGCTCCCCTAAGTGGGGAGGTGAGGTAGAGCCCAAGGCACCGCCTGGGAAAACCCTGCTCCTTCCCGACCCACGGTGTTGTCCCTGTGTGAGTTCCACTGCTGCCCATGGAGGCTGCTGGGGCAGTGGCTTTGCTGCACCGTGTCCCTAGGGATCAGCCAGCATCACTTCTGTCCAGGTGTCTTAGGGCCAAGGAAGCACAACTGGCTCCGGAGCACTGCTGGGAGCACAGGTCCAAGATGAGCATGGGGCATGTGGTGACAGCAGGATTCTGACCTGCTGCTGACTCCTGCTGCTGACTCACAGGTTTGGAGCACATGGTTTTGAAGCATTTTTGGAAGTACTTTGCCTCTGCGCCATCTACCAGCAATGTGATGTATATTTTGTAAGAGCTTAAAATATGTCAGCAAGAGTCAGCCCTTGTGCCTTTACCAAAACTTCCCTAGCAAATTACATAACTCCAGCAGTGGGAGGGAGGCTGGGGAGGTGACTTCTGAGTACTGCTGATGGAGAAACCTGAGCCCCTGAGCAGCAAAAACTGGGGTTTTAATCCAAAGTAGGACCAAACAGAACTCTGAGCCTGGGGCCCTCTGGTTCTCCAGCTGTGTGTGCCCTCAGCATCCCAGCTGCCTCCTATGGGCTTCCCACAGGAGCATGGAAGACTCCCTGATCTCCAGGAAAGAAGAGGGAGATGCAACAAGCTGAAGTGATACCCAGGTGAAAGGGCAGGAATAACAACATGGTGAGTGTAGAAACACCCCTCTAGGTGCCTTTTCTGATTCCTGGGAGGGATGGAACACAATGGAGCAGCAAATGGTTCCCCTTATTGGAGGCTTAATTTCCTTCTCATTTGATTATCTGAATTGGTGCACTGCTCAGTCAGGTTTATCCCAAACCAGTACAAGGGGAGCTGGAGGAGGATGAGAGATTGTCCCCACTGTAATGCTCACAGCAGCTGTCCTTCTGCCTGGGTATCTGTAACCTAACAGTGAGATTTCATAGCTGTGATAAACACAGCTCTTTCAGCAAGAGCGAGTCTCTTGTTCCCCTTTCTCTGCCCTAAGCTGACTCAGTAGGTGAACTTGTTTCTTCTACGATAAGGTCCAACAGGAAGTGAGTAACAGAGATGGTGACATTTCCTGTGGAAGACTCCTGAAATCCAGCAAACCCAGACTGCCAATAGGTGGGTCAGAAATAGAGAAATGTCCAAAATCCAGTTGGGGTGCAGTGCACAGGTTTTGACTTTGTACAGCTACAATATGTACAAGTTTATAATTTCTGAAGAGTAAAAAAAACTGATTTAGGCACTAGGAACCCCCCATTATGCACGAGGGAAGAACTTTTTGTGAGCAGTTCTGTTGGGCAGGAGAAGTGGAGGAGCATGTCCAGCTCATTCCCAAGAAGGCAGGATGGAGCTCTCTGCACAGGACCCTGGGGTTTTGGCTCTTCCCAAATGGTGGCAGACACTGAGGTGGGTGTGAGGACAGCAGCAGGTCTTGACTGGCACAAAAGTAGGATGTGATGAGGAGGTGCCATTGCCATGTGCTCTGGCTAAAGCTGAAGGCAGCAGAGCTCTGCAAACCCTGTCACCCTCCCCAGTCTGACCTGCATGAGGCTCTCCATTGAAGGCTTCCCTCCTAACAGGAATCAGAACCCCTGCCATGGTGTCCATACCATCCACCAATGCAAGCAAGGCAGGATTTGGAGGAAAGAGGCTGTTTTTTAAGACTAGCTTTACTTTTTTCCTTCCTGTCATTCATTACCAGCAGAGCTGCCCCTGCACATCCTGCCCTATCCCCATATCAATGCATGTTTTAGCACATCCCTGAACAGAAACACAGATGTACATATTCTGTACATGTTCCTAAATCCATCACAGCCTCACCGAAGGGGATCTGCAGCACCTTAAAGACCATTCAATTTATTAATTTCGTTTATCTAATGCCATCTAGAGGCAGCTGATCTGCTCTGGCATCAATTGCTTTGAAGCAATACTTTCCACTTCTCTGGGATTACAGCTTATTTTTTTCAAATGAGGTTCATCAATGTCTTAACCCAGATCTGGACAAGAGGAAAGCAGAGAAGCCAATCACAGTCCCTGGCAGAGCTGTAAGGACAGAACCCTTGCTGCAGGACCAGGAGAATTTCTGTACTGTACAGATCTATAGGTGAAACCTGGATGCCTTCTGTAGCAAGGCTGGGTCTCCTACCTGGTGATCTCAGTGCCTCCTGTGGTTGTGCCCGTGTTCTTCTGGAGGCAGTGAGCAAGCAGAAGCACCCTAGGAAGAGAATCAGGGAGGCACTGAATGTTTTTGGGGTAACCATGCTGGTTCCTGTCTCCACTGAAGGCATGTCAGACACTGTGAGTAAATGTTCAGTGATGATTTATTGTCTGGTCTTTATTATTATTACAAAAACAAAGCAGATATCAAAAAACAGCAAAGATTTCACAAGGTCCCCAATAGTTTTACACAACTGAACTGTAGTAAAATAGTGAAATTAAAACACATATATTTCAGTCCTGGCCCTAAACCCTCTACGGAGATCCGTGGTCTGGGATGCCCTGGGCTTTCCTAATTGTTTAAAATTCTCTTTACTTGGGAACCTGACTGGCCCACTAGCTAACATGATGAGGCACAATGCAACAGGAATGTGAGCTGTCTGGTATCCTCACAGACCCTACACAACCAGAAAACAAACTAGGGGAGGCTCTGCAAGGATGGTGTCGATACCAGGATATGTTTCTTGCACTACCCCAAGCAGCCGTTTTGTTGTGCTTGACAAAACCAAATCACTTTCCAGCTCCTGAAAGGTGATTTGCTGTGTAAAAGCTGCTTTTTCTTTTTCTCCTCAGGATCTTTGCTCCCCAAAATAAGAAGAGTTCACTGGGCTGGGCTCCAGTGTAAATGGACCATTAACCTTTTAAATTCCCCTTTCCAAACTGCATGATGGACAACTCCATCCCACTGTGACCTTCCCACTGTGGACCCAGCATCAGACTGATGGCAAGGAACCTGAGCAGGTTAAGGAAAATACTCAGCTCTCTGGAATGATAATTGGGGTTGGAAAAGAGCTTTTTTTTTCTCTCCTATTCACAGATGTAGGGTCAGAGGTTGACCAAAGGCAATATGGTCCAGTTACCTGTGTTAGTAATAGCTGCCCCACTTCTCAAATACCAAGATTTTAGCTCAAAACACTGCTTGGCTAGCAAAAAATTAAGACATTGCCCCGTGTCCCTCAGCATTTGCTCGAGAGTCAGGTCCAAATCTGCCACAATTACACACAAATGCAAATCACTCTAAACACCAAATTGTTTACATCACTGAATATGTCACTGAAAGGCCGGCGAGTACCAAATATTCCCGTTAGAAGTAAAATTCCACCTTCATAATTTTCCAGAATTTAAGTGCAGAAGAGCTCACGACGCGCACCATTGGTGGGGAATGACAGAAGCAGCAGGGCGAAGGCAAAGCTGGGGCAGAGCTGCCCGGGGGGATCGGGGCTGGTACCAGCGGCTCCCTGCTGGGTCACACGTCCCTCCTGCTGGGTCACACTGTCTTCCTGGCAGTCAGGACACGCACAATGGACCCAACTCCTCCGGCAGCCAGCGCCTGCCAAGGGAAACGCGGCAGTGAAGAGCAGGCCAGGGGGCTGCAGCCTGGAGCTCCCTTCCAGGACCTAACAGGCTGACAGGAACGACGCAGAGGGACTTTGGATGTGACCTGGAGTGACAGGGGAAGGGCTTCAAACTGACAGGGAGCAGGGGTAGGTATCAGGAAGAAATCTTTCCCTGTGAGAGTGGTGAGGCACTGGCAAAGGTTTGCCAAAGAAGCTGTGGCTGCCCTGTCTCTGGAAATGTCCAAGGGCAGGCTGGATGGGGCCTGGAGCAAGATGGGATAGTGCAACGTGCCCCGGCCCATGGCAGGGGTGGGATGAGATAAGCTTTAAGGTCCCTTCCAACCAAAACCATTCTGGGAGTCTATGAAATTACTTGGATCATATTTATACTGCACATGAGTAGCTGCCTGCCCTCCATGAAACACCAGCAGCCAGGGTGCCAGGGTAGGATAATCACACTTGATTTCAAGACAGCTATTTAACTTTAATTAAGCTTTCATTTCTCTGCATAACCCAGCTGCAAATTTTGCTTCCCTCCAGGAAGAAAATTCTTCAGCCTATTTGAGTCTCTGGATGAAACCATTTTGTTTGCCTCGGTGTAAGAGAAACCCAAATTGTGACTGAAGGAAGCAGCAGTGGGCAGGAGCTATACCTCAGCTGTGAGCTCCAGGGCCATGCCTGGCACAGCCTGAAGCTGGCACCTGAGTCCCACCAGCCAGGAAAGGGGCTCTTGCCAGGCTCAGGGCCTGGGCACTCTGGCAGGAGCTGTCCCCATCACGCACCTTCTCGTGCCACTGCAGCAGCACAGCACTGCTGTTGTCAGAGGGGCTCTCAAAGCCCTTGTAGATGTACTTCATGAGCAGGTCCACCCCGTTCTTGTCCAGAGACTGCACTGCCTTCTCAATGTCGTTGGCTTTGAAGGAGATGAGCACCTTCAGCACGATGCTCTCAGCACGGTCCTGTCAACAGGCAGGCACAGACACAACCATCTGTGTGAGGCACAGCCAAACACTGCTTCTCTCTCAGACAAACTGAATTACAGCATTTTTCCTCTTTAACACTTCTGAACACGGCGTGTGAAGAGCTTGTCATAGCATGGTATA